TGACCACCTCCCTTAAAGACCCGTAACTGTGGACCTGAGTCCTAGAGACCAGCCCCACACAAACACTACGACCACCGGAAGGTGCAGATTCCCCAGCCCAGGAGCCCAGGCGAGGCCAAAGGCTTTTTGTAGACACGCGCTCAGAAAATCCTGGGCCACCTGTGCCCTCACACTTAGGCGCACCCGCCTCTTTCAAGCCTGAGAATATGGAAAGCCAAAGGGCCGCTCAGAATTTCTGTGTGTGACTGGCAACTAAACCCATAGTCTTCACAGTAAGTTACATCCCTAGCTCTTCTTTCTAATTTAAAAAACTTTTTTTTTTTAAATTTTGAGAGTGGGTTTTGATAAATTACCCAGGCTGGGTTTGAACTTGCAGTCCTCCTGCCTCAGTCTCCTAGAGTGCTGGGATTACAAGCTTATGTTACCAAACCCAGCTGCCCCTCAGGAATTTATCTTTAAAAATAACTATCTTTGCAGAGTACTTTATTTATAAGGAATAGACGACCATTACATTGCTCCAAATCGCAAGAAGCTGACACCTTAAAAATTTAGCAGCAGGGCTAGGGTATGGCTCAGGTTAGAGCACTTGCCTAGCATGTTCAAGGCCCTCAGTTTGAGCCCAAACACTGTGGAACAGCAAGAAAACAGGTAATAAATCACAGCGCATTTGGTGGAATGTACTGAAGAGTATTCTAAAGTAATAACGGCTACCTTTAGTGAGTAGTGTCTGGGAAGGGGCTCAAAGGCACCTGCAGGAGTGTGCAAAATGTCCTGTATTGCACAAAAACATACGGAAAAAATTACAGATACGTGTGTACTGTTGCACTGTTTTAAAAGGTTTTTTTTAATCTATTTTTATTCTTTGCAATACTGGGCACCTAACCCAGGGCACTGAACACGCTAGGCAAGCATTCTACTACTGGGCTACGTTCCGGGCCAACAGTTTAAAAATTATACTAACAAGATTATTCATCATTAATGATTTTAGATGACCCTCCTGGTATGAAAATAATGGATAAACACAAAACTAGCAAGGCAGAAACACCATACACAGTAAAACTCCAATTCCCTTTAAAAACGAACATACACAGGTTTAAAAAACAAACCAAAAAAACCCAAAAACAACAACAACAAAAAAAACACCTGGACGACGACTCCACAAAATACTGTATTGAGTAGTGGAATTACAAACGATTTAAATTCAGGACTGCAGTAGCGACAGTAACACGAGAAGGAAAACCAAAGCTCCCAACGTACCTTTCCCCAAAGCACAGGGAGCCTGGGGAGACCGCGAGGCCGCAGCCAGAGCCGGGACCAGACACGCCCCCCTCCGCACCTCGGTTTCCCCGTCTGAGCCACGAAGACGCCGCGCGCTGTCGTCGAAAGCCCGCCCTGCCGCAGAGCAGCCCTGCCGGCTGCACGGGCGAGCGGGCCTGCTCGGGTCGCCGGGCCCGGCGCCCGGGTGCGAGCTGGGCGCCCAGAGCCCGGGCCGCCGACGGCGCCCCGACGCCCCTCCCCCCGCGGGGCTCCCAGCGGGCTCCAAGCCCGCTATTCCTCGCCTCGGACTGCTCCCCCGGGGCGCGCAGCTCCGTGCTGGTCCCTCTGCTCACCTCTCCCGAGACCACGTCCTGCCCCGCGGCTGCCCCGCGCGCAAAGCCGCTCCCGGTACCCGCCGGGCCGCTCCACACTCACCTCAGCTCAAGCCCTTGGGGCACCGAGAACAATGGACGAGAGGACCCCGCCCACCACCGCGCTCATTGGCTTCTAAGAACGTCCTCTAGAATCTCTAGTTTGCTATTGGCGAAGACAGCACCCCGCCGGACGGCGGGAGGGAGGCAGGGACCAAGGCATTGTGGGAGATGTAGTCCGCTCGAAGACGACCCCACCGAGGTGCGGGGATGAGAGTAGAGCAGATGCTCTGCGGCTGGGAGGGAGCAAGGCAGAGAACCTCGGACTGGCCGTCGCTACCCCAGTGTTGCCCGACGCTGCAGCCCGAGACTGGTCGTCTCATTCTATGCGGCCTCCATGTATTTGCTTGTACAAAGTAATGTCGGATGGGCGAACTTGGAAATCGTTTTCGGTCGAAAACTGGCGGCAAGACAGTGTTGGTCTGCTCGAGGGAAGGGCAGACCTTGACAGGAGAGAAGCAGGAAAAGTCGCCGTTGCCCAAGCCCGCGCCTTCCCTCCCTATTTGTAGCTGTGCACGTGTACCCGGCTTTGCACACCCCTTTGTTTTCACACGTGGTCTTCCTGCGTGTGCAGGAAAGCCCCGCCCTCTCCGCCTGAGATCTCCAGGCTTCCACAGCCCGTTTAGAGCCTGCTCTCATCACCGCCTCGGGCAGAGGCACCGTCCCTAGCACCCCTGTTCCAAGGCTCCAGGCTCCATTTAGTAGTACTCAGCACCGGATTGCTCCTTAATCCCTGCACAGGGTGAGTGGGAATGGGAATCGATTTTTTTTTTCGATACTGGGGATTAAACCCAGGATCTTCACACTGAGCTACATCTCAGCCCTTTATTATTATTATTATTATATATTTTTTTGAAACAAGGTCTCAATACTCCTGCCTCGCAGCCTCCCAAACACAGGTGTATGGCGACCTCCCAGGCTAAATCTTGTCTTTTTATAGATTCTTAGTTTTGTGATAGGAAGTCCAGTGCACCATTTCAAAGATCACTTGAAATTCACCAGATTTTCACTAATTAACCTGTAATTAATCCAGATCCCGCGTGCGAAGCAGCAGGCCTTTTTGCTCGGGTTGGCGCGGGGAGGTGTTAGCACTAACCACATACATCAGCGCCATCTCCCGGCCCGCCTGAGAAATTTACGTACACTGTTCGGAGCAAATTCCTGGCACTTCCTTAGAGGCCTGCATTCTTAAAGGAGATCCGAGTGACTTTGGTGTATAGCCTTTTACTGACAAAGATTTGTTTTTCCACTTATCCATCCTCGGAAGGAACGGAAATGTACACAAAAGGAAAACGACCCGAGGGGCTGGGGCATGCGCAGCTAATTCTCTCTAGCAGCCAGAATCCATTCATCTCTGCTCCCACCCCAAGTCAACCACTGGACTAGGAGCCCGCTTGTGGCAGGGTGGTAGAGCCAGCTATCCCTGCCCTGTGACTGATTCTCTGGGAAGCTGGCCTTGGCTAATGTCAACTGTCCCGGTGAGACAGCGAGTAAGTCACATTTAAGACCAGCTCGTGGCATAATGGTCTTGGTACCCCAGCCAGTCACTGAGACCAGCCCGGGACAGCAAGGCAAACCTAGAACACGGCCGAGTTCAGGGCTGCTCCTCCAGGCAATTCTGTTCTCCGCTTGCTAAGAGTGAGAGAGGGGCTGAGTTCTAGCAAGGAGGAAGGGTCTTGGTTAAAAGTTTCAGCCAATGACTTTGTTTATTGAAACAAAAGGAACTTAATGAAAAGACCACCAGGGAGCTCACAGAGTAGGTAGGAGCCAAGAGCTGGTTCAGAGGACAGTTGGAAACCGAAAAACAAAGCAGGAGGTCCTAAGAACCATGAAAACAACCTCTAATCTGAAACAATCCCACTTCTGTGCCCAGAAGCCCTGCTGATACTGGGGTAGGATAGAAAAAATAAAGATAGGTAGAAAAGAGACAAGGAAAAATCATAATTTTAAAAATTACTGAAACGAGGTGGGGTGGTTTGAGTAATCTCAGCCCTTGTGAGGCTGAGGCAGGAGGATCACAGTGAGTTTGTGACCAGCCTGGGCTACATGGTGAGTTCAGGGCCAGTCTGAACTACACATGCTCTGTCTCAAAAAAAAAAAAAAAGTTACTCAAGCTTTTTTCCCTTCCAGGAAACATGTCAAAAAAAAAAAAAAAAAGCCAGATGTGCTAGCGGTCCACTCGGGGCTAAGCCTGGGAGATACGAAGTTCCAGGCCAGCCTAAGCAACCGGGTGGCTTCATGAGATCTTATCTCAAAGTAAAGATTGTTAGAAGGGCTGGGGAAGTAGCTCACTCAGTGCAAGGCCCCGGATTCAATCCCAGTTATTTAACAAAACAGGACAAAATCAAACCTAAGAGCCTTAAAGTTACAGTACAACTATAAATTGGATTTGGGGCTGTTGCTTTTTTTTTTTTCCATCTTTGTGAGACAGGGTCTCGCTGTGCAGTTCAGGCTAGCCTTAAGCTCACTTTGTAGCCCAGGCTGCTCTCAAACTTGCAGTGATCCTCCTGTCTCAGCCTCCCAAGTGCTGAGATTACAGGAAGGCATCACCTGGCCTGGCCCGTGCTTTTCTTTCGCCTATAAAAAAAAAATGCCTTTTTCCCCTGTGAGGAGTCGCCGTCCCCTTTGACCTGTAAAACAGGCCTTTCACCACAGGCTGTCACCTTTCAGCTCTAAAATGGCCATTACCTTTCACCTGGAAAGTGAGCTGTGCTTTCCATCCATGCACAAACTTCAAAGACTTCTGTCCCTAACACCACGACCTCAGGCCGCAATGTGGCTCACTCTCCGAATGCCTGCACTCCCTTCCAGTGTGTACTTTTTCTGTCAAATAAGTCATTCCTGTGTCTCCTACCGATGACTCCTGAAAAAATATTTTTTGTGTGTGACAAGAATCAGCAACTTCTTCTGTGGTCGGTGAGTTTAGGTTCCCGATTTCCTCTTTGGGGACTGTCCTCAAACCCATCCAGTGACAATACTATAGCCAGCTCTGCTCCTCCGCCCTCCTCACTCAAATTTCCAAGTGCTAGGAGAGAAAATCAAGAGAGTACTTGATTTTCTGAGTCTAAATCACATGTCCACCCCCTGGGTGTACATGGAAAGAAAATTGGGTCTGGCTCCTTTCCACTCAGGAGGCTGAGGCAGGAGGATCACAAGTTCAAACCCAGAGTGGGTAACTTAGTGATTTAGCAAGACCCTATCTCAAGATCAAAGATGAAAAAAAAAGGAAAAAAGGGCTTGGGGTATAGCTTGGTGTGAATGCCCTGGATTCTATCCCTGGTACCACAAAAGAAAAAAAGTCAGGGAGAAATAGAGAATAGGGACAGGGAAGCATTTACTTTGAAGAAGGAAAAATGAAATTCAGTCCAAGAAAAAGCCACATTGTAGCAATTGTAACAATGTAGCGATTGTGAAATTAAATATAACATGACATATGCCAGTGAAAATAAGCGGGAGAACAGGATTTTTTAAAGTAGAACTGTTTCAACCCCCAAGGCCATTGCTTTCTTCCTTTTTATGAATGGTTTGCATGTAGTGTGACCAAGAGAGGGCATTTGGGCCTCAGCCCCAGGGGCTGCTGGCTTTTTTCTTTTTTCTTTTTGAGACAGGGTGTTGGTATATAGTTCAGGCTGGCCTTGAACTCACTTTGTAGCCCAAGCTGACCTCCAACTCACAGGATCCTCCTGCCTCAGCCTCCTGAGTACTGGGATTATAGGTGTGTGCCATGATGCCCAGCTGCTGGCTTTTTTCTAAATTCTCCTGGCTGGGTTGTCCCCCAGCCCTGTTCTGGCCTCTTTGTGCCAGGAGGAGGGAGGTGGATGGATTCTCAAGCTCCAGCCAGTTCCCATGCCTGCAGCTGAGCTGCTGCATTCAGAGTATTTCTGGGAAGGCACAGGGTGTTCTGAGCCGTACAAAATGCCTCTGAGGCCGCCCTCATGTGGAGTGGTCTCCGGAGACAAGGTTGGCACCAGGAGTGGCTTGGGACAGCGCGTGCTTTACCAAGGGGATCTATCTTCGCTGTCTGTAATGCCCACCAGGCTGTTACAAGTACAAACTGATCACCAAGCTAGAAAAACAGAGAGAAGGGAAAAGCTGAACTGCATACTTGAAACACGTGTGAGCACACGTACACACTAGCAGTGCATCAAGTAAACAGCAAATGTTTAAATTAAAAATGAGAAATGCATTACAGTAAAAGACATATTGCCACGAATTCTCAAAATACTCCCCCTCCATTCGAATACACTTATCCCGTCAGTCTTGTCATCTTCGGAAGCAGCTCTGGAAGTCCTCTTTTGTGAGTGTCTTTACAGGTTGTATTTTCTTTTTTTTTTTTTT